TTATATATATATATATATTATATATAATTATATAATATATATATATATATATATATATATATTTTATTATATTTATATATACATATATTATCATTTATTATCATATTTTATATATTTTTTTGTGTTTATACTAATCTAATATATATCTTTTCTATCACTTCATTTTTATTGTATTTTCAACTTTTATTAAAATATTAATAGTGAATATTTAATAATAAATATATATTTTAATTTTTATAATCATTTTATACTTTTCATACTTTAAACTCTAATTCTTTGCTAAACAAAATAGTTAAATCTCAAAATTTCGCATAATATTAAATCTTTTTTTTGTTTAGTATTTAATTTAAATTTGTAGTTATATTTAAGTAATAAATTTATCCTAGATTTTATCATTTTAAGAATTAAATCCACTATGTTTATTATATTTACACTTCATTATTTTCAACCTGAACAGGGACATTAATTATTCTATTTTAGTCTATTTTTGTCCATTCTTAACTAAATAACTTCTTTTATTTATATTATTATTCTTATTATGTTTTTTTATTTTTCTTATATCTTTACTAATATTATAACTTTATAAATTATTTTAAAGATTTATATTATTGGATCTTTGTCCAAATACATATATTTAATAATTTATATTAATTGTGATTTTTTTTTTTTCAAATTAATAATACTATATTATTTGTTATGAAGTTTTTTTATATATTTTGTATATTTGAAGTTTTTTGTTATAATTATTATTAAATAATAATAATTTCATTAATGTATAAAGATAAATTTTTTTTCAGTAATTATACATTAAAGGTATTTTTATTAAAAAATTTTAGATATTTATTTATTTATTTTAATATTAAATAAAATATTTTTTTCTAATTAACCTAAAATAATATTATAAATATATATTTTTTGATATATTTAAATAAAATATCAATATTTTTTAAACTATTATTAAATATTTTTAATTGAAATTATAATATTTTATATTATATTCAATTTATAAAAAAATTATAAAATTACAAATATTTGTTGAACATTAAAAAAGTTTTTTTTATTTTTATTTTTATATTTATATAAATTAATATTTTTTTGTATTTAATTAATCGATTATTTTTAATCGTTAAAAAAAATACTATTTAAATTAACAAATATTAATTTCTTCAACTTTATATATGTGTTAATATTTTTTATATATTTAAAAAATTAATAAAAATATTTTAAATATGGATCCATTAAAAGAATATGATGAGAAAGTATAAATAATGGTAAAATTTTCTATAAAATATATTAATGAAAAAATTTATATGTAGCTTATTAAAAAAATAAAAAAAGTTTAAGTAAAAAGAAAATTAATATAATAAAGAGAAAGCAATTCTTGAATAAAATATAGATTTATTAAAATTATAATTATAAGAATAAAAGAAAAGAGAAGAAACTTTAACAAAAATGAATGAAACTATAATTAAATATTTAGATGATATATCAAACTAATAAAATAGTGTATAAAAAAATATACTTAATTGATTATTAAATAATAATATTAATTTATATTAATAAAGGGATTAATTTTGAAAGAAATATAATTAAATTACATATAAAATTGTGATGATTTAAATGATATTAATAATAAATAAAAAAAATTATTTAAAATTTATAATTAGAAGTTTAATATTTAAAAAATCATATAAAAAGTTTAGAATTATAAAAAAATGCATAAATAAAATTTGATTAAGAAAATATTTATAACTCTTCTAGTCCTAATTAAAATTATGATTTATAAAACGATTATTTGAATTAGAAATTATAGGAACAAAAATAATTATATGATTAAAAAATAAATATTATGTAATAAAATAATGAAGATGTAAATTAATTTTTTTACATATAACAATAAATAAAATAAACAAAAAAATAGATTATTAAAAAATTAATTTTTAATATTAAAAATTATTTCAATAATATCAATAAGTATTAGAAGATAACTAACAATTAAAATATAATATTAATTAATAAAATAAATATAAAGATAATCATGATCTTACTTTACAATAGTAAGTCAAAATAGTAGATACGTTAAATGCATCTTAATATTAATAAAAAATAACAAAAAATATAGAAGATGATTAATAAACATAAGTATTTTTAATAAATGCATAAGAAATTAAACATTCAAATTAATATAAACCTATTTTTTAATGTGAAAAATGTGGAGAACATATATTAGAAAACTAATTTTTTATTCATTCTAATTAATGTAATACTAAATAAAATAATAGCAATTTTTCAGATAGAAATAGTCAAATAATAAAAAAGAAATTAAATATAAACGAAAAATAATTTAATTTATAAAATCAAATCAATACTAATCATTTAAATGAAGAAAGTTAAGAAAATAGCTTCATTGTTAAAAAAGAAATTAAATTTTTAATTAACAAATTGTTAAAAGCTAAGGAAAAATTAATAGAAAATAAAAATTTAGATGTAACTAATTCATATTTAAGTGATTTTAATAAACATATATTATAATGAATTTTTTTAATATTTTTTTGTGTTATTTAAGTATTTTTATATTACTAATATTTTTTTGCTTATTTTTATAAATTAATTTTTTTTTATTTTTATAGTGCAAAATTATTATTTTATTAATATTTAATATTAATATTTATTTATTTTTATTATTTTCTTATTAATTTAAATTTTTATTAAAAAAGTACAGAATTAACAAATAGATTCATAATTTAAAAATAATAATGTTGATTTTATAAAAAATAAAGACATATAAATTACTTTTATCTAAAAAAAACAAAAAAAATAAGCGCGTAAATTTATAATAAAAATATAAAAAAAGTGGCATTTTATAATAAAAAGCTTATAACTATATATATAAAAAAAAAAATTAAAAAAGAAAATAAAAAAAAAAAAATCTAAAAAAAAAATAAAAAAAATAAAAAAAGAAAAATGTTCCAAGCCAAATTAGAAGAAGGAGTACTATTTAAAAAAATAGTTGACTCTATAAAAGATTTAGTAAAGCAAGTAAATATTGATGCGAATCCAAACGGCCTATCCATGCAAGCTATGGACTCAGCTCACGTTGCCTTAGTATCTTTAAAATTAAACGAAAACGGTTTTAAAGACTATAGATGTGACCGTCCCTTAACCCTCGGTCTTTCTATCGAAAACCTATCCAAAATCTTAAAATGTGCTGGAAATGATGACATAATTACTCTTTAAACTGATGAAGAAGAACCTTCTACATTAAAGTTTTTATTCGAAAATCCTTAAGCAACTAAAGTTTCTGAATTTTGTTTAAATTTATTAAGTCTTGATTCTGAAGCTTTAGGAATTCCAGAAACTGAATATTCATCCACTATTGATATGCCTTCTTCTGAATTTTCTCGTATATGTAAAGAACTTAGTTCTATTTCTGAAACAGGTATAAAATATAAAATAAATTTAAATAATTATTTTAATTAATAATAAATTATTAATAATATATATATATATATATATTATTTATTTAAATAAATATTTTATATTATATTTTTATTTATTCTATTTAATAGTTGATATTGAAACTTCAAAAGAAACGGCTAAATTTAGTGTTTCAGGAGATATTGGTAATGGATCAATAACAATTAAACATAATGAAGGTGAAAAAGAAGGAGAAAAAGTATGCTTAAATGTTGATTAACCTGTAAAATTAACTTTCGCTTTAAGATATTTGAATATGTTTAATAAAGCTATGTCTTTGAGTAATTAAGTTAGTTTGAATATGTCTGAAGAAAACCCTCTTATGGTAGAATATAAAATAGGAAAATTAGGAAATTTAAGATTCTATTTAGCTCCTAAGATTAATGATGAAGAAAATTGATATATTTATATAATTATGTATATTAAATATATATTAATTAGATTTTTATTTTTATATTCAAAAGAATATTTAATTAATTTTAAAATAAAAAAATTAAATTTATTTTATTTTTTAAATTTGATAATTAATAACATTAAGTATTTTATTCTATTTAATTTATTTATTTTTTTAAATAAATTATAAAATATTTATTGAAAAAATATAACATAATAATATTTATATGATTCTTAAAAAATACATACCTTTTTTTTTTCTATTTATGAAAAATAAAATAAAATTAAAAAAAAAAAAATTAAATAAATAAATAAAAAATTAAATGCGTTAATAAGTATCTACTCATAAAGAAGAAAAATAAGATCTTAATTTATAAAGTAAATTTCCATAATTAAACATAAAAATAGTAAATGAATCATTAAATTAATAACTCTTACCTTAAGATTATAGAGAAAACCTTGTTCTAAACCCTTAAAAATATTCAGTATTTTACACATAATTTGATTTATAGTCTCCTACGTTAAAATAGGCATTAAAAAATCTTAATTTGACCGAAGAAGATACAAAACTTAAAAATTATCAAGAATTTTCATATTCTAAAAATAAAAATGTTCAAAGTATAATTGATTATTTACAATATGCAAGTGATTAATACTAAAAGCTAAAGGCAATTATTAAAGAAAGAAACAAAATTAAGAATAATTATGTATCTGAGGAATTATTAAAAAGTTCTAAATTAGCCGAGTTTACAAATAAGTAAAAAGATTTTATCTAAAAATCTGGAAAGTTAATTATTTTTGACGAAAAATAATAATAATCGAAAAAAACTTATAAAAAATATGATTTTTTAGTAGATTTGAAAGTTTAAAATAGTCAAAAATAGGTAAAAAAAATAATAAAATAAATAAATAAAAAAATAAAATTAGAATGAAGCTTAAGATTTTTATTATTCGTAAATTTTAACAGAATACGATAATCGAGTTAAAAAAAAATTCCAAAAAATTGAAGAATATATAAAAAAAAAACATTTAAAATACGAATAAAAAATTGAATAAATAAAAAACGCATAAAAAATGGAAAAATAAAAACAGGAAAGAATTCATCAATAAAAACTAGAAGAATTAAACTATACTAGTGAAAAATAAGAAGAAAAAATAAAATAAAAAATTGAATAATAACAAGAATAAATTAAATAATTAAAAAGATAAAGAAAATTGCATACTGAAAAAGTTTTATTTCAAAAAGAAATGGAAATTTAAAAAAATATTTAATAAAGAATTGGTTTATTTAATTTTTTATAAGAAAAAAATTATAAAGTATAACGAAATCTCAAATAAAATGATAATTTAAGTAAACTTAGATTCCAAACCATCAATTTACACCAAAAAGAAATTTAGAATAAATATTAAAGCATTAAAGAAAATCAATAATCATAGATTATTGAAAAAATAATTTTACACTAAAAAAATACAGTACTAAAAACCCAAAAAATAATGAAAAATCTTGAAAAACTAAAAAAAGATAAAAATAATAGTCTTCAAAAAAAAACCAATATTTTATAAAAAATAAGTATTTGAATCATAACAGAAATAGAAGTTATATATAAAATCTCAAAAAAAATATTGAAAAAAAAGAAATGAGAAAATATTAGGTTGCTTAAAGACAAAGAACTATGTCTGAGGAATTATCTGATTTGAATATGTCTAGATATTCTAAAGCTTAGAAAAATTATGAGGTTTAATAAAGCATTTTTAATAAAAATAAATAATAAAAAATAGTAAATAAACATAAATAAATAAGCGAAAAAGTAGAAGATTTAAATCAATAAGAATGCGATTATATTAATTTAAATTATAATTTAAGTGCTGCTCTTTTTAGGAAAAGAGAAGATTCAGTTTTATGTTGAACAAAATTATTATTTTTTTATAATAAACAAATAGAAATAAATAAATATAAAAATTAAAAATAATAAAATTAAATATTTAATTTATTAAAATATTATAATAAGTTAAATATAAATACTTTGTTTTTATATTATAATAATAATATATTTATATTAAATAAAATAAAAAAAAGACTAAAAAACAAACAAAATAAAAAAAAATCATTATTTTTGTTATTATTATTTAAACTCCTTAGTAATACGAGAATTAAGGCCATCAAAAACTACTTTTTGGCTTAATAAATCAAGTTCTTTTAAGAATTCTTTTTTAGCATCTTTAGCTCTTCTAGCATTTAAGAAATTGACAACAACTCTTCTTTATTTCATAGAAAGCATTTTCCAATTTTTTACATGTTATCTTAAAACTTCATCTTACGAAATTTTTAATTTCCCTTCTTCTAATTATTTTAAAAAACCAGAACTAAATTATCTAATAACTTAATTTTCATCTTCCACTTATTCATCTGCTTTTACTATTTTTTTACTCTTATAGTCATATTTTTCATTTAATTCTTATTTTTCATTTTTCTTATTTAGTTCAAATTCAGCTGCACGTTTTATATAATCAGTATTATCTATTCCTTATTTCAAATCTTTATACTTTTAAATTAGTAATTCTTAGTTTATTTATGGAATATGAGGTAAATGCTTTTATTTTTCTTATTCTTCTTTTACTGCTTTTTCGTAATATTCCCTTTATATTGAAACATATTCATTTTCTAAATATTGTCTATATTCTTTTCTAATTTTATTTCTTTCATTTACTACTGTTAATAATCTGGCCATTGATTAACGTACTTTACCCATTCTACCTTTACCACCTATTTAATCGTATACTTTTTAATAATATTAATAGTCTGATACTATTGCATTTTTTTCTCTTAATAAAACATACCTGAATATATTTAAACAAATAAAAAATATATAAGTTTTATATTTAATTATGTAAATAAAAATACCATAATTTATGCAAATCTTCATTTGATTTTAATCGAAGTTCTTCTGCTTTCCAAGCTCTTCCTTTTTATATATATATAAAATATATTTGCTTTTCAAAAATTAAACCTGTTGTAACTTTTTAATTTTTTTCTTATGCTTATTGTTAATTAAATAAGTCGGTTAAAGCAACTACTTTCTCGTTACATCTAATAACTTAAAAATGACTAAATATATTTAAATTTTATCTTAAAAATAGTTTCATAAATATTTGTTTATTATTTTATTTTTACTTTTTTTATTATATAAGAAAATTAAAGATAAATAAATATATATCTTTATATTTTCATATGAATAATTAAATATTTTTTATTTATATAATAATTTTTATTACAATTATTATTATTTTTATTATTTTATTATTATAAATATAAATAAATAAATTAATATATCATAATAATTTTATTTTTTTAACTATTATTTATAAATTTTATATATATTTTTAATTGAAATATAATAATTAATTTTAATATATTTATTTTAAATTTTTTTAATAGTATTATTTTATTTCATAATAATATTAATTAAATATATGAATAAAATTTAGTTTAATAATTATAATTATTTAAAGGCAATGAAAATATTTAATATCAAATAAGAAATATATACAACATAATTTCAAATATATAATTACTTTTATTTCTTATTTTTTTCTGTTTAAGATGTGTAAATTTTCATCATATTTTTACTATAATACTTATTTTTAACAACTAATCATTTAAATTATTAATTTATAAAAAATTACCATAATATTTTTATTTTTTTAAAACATTTTTAATAATCAAATATTATTATTTTTTACTATTAATTCTCTAAAATAAATATTATAGTGATTTAATATATTATTCATTTATTTATTTTGATTCATAATTCTAATGATTTCATAATAATTGATAACATATTGTATAATTAGTACTTTAAAATTTTCTTTGTTATCTATACAACTTTCAATTAAAAAAAAATTATTATAAATTGAAATAATATATTTATGGTAATATATATTTATAAGTATTTGTTAAATTTTTAATATATTATTACAAATTGAATATTTAAAGAAGTGGTAATTTCTAACTGCGTAAACTAAAAGATTATTGCCTCTTTTGAAGGATTTTAAGGATTAACTAAGGTTGTAAATTCATATGTAATGTTATGCATTCATTAATAGGAGTGTCAAAACTAATATAAATTTGTTGTGGTTAAATATATATACATGAATATAATAAATATATGTATATATATAAATATATATATATATATATATATATATTATATATATTAAAATTATTATTATTTATTATTTTTTTAGCAATTTTCACAAATTTTTTGTTTATTTAATTTAAAAATAAAACTTTTTGTAATAAAAAAAATAAAAATGAAAAAAATATATTTAATATTTATTTAAATAGTGTTCGTAATTTCTTAAAGTTAACCGCCTCACAAATTTTACAAACCTTTGATAAAAACATAAAAAAACTTTACAGGTTTACTTCCCGAGAATTTTTCTTGGTAAAATGTCAATAATACAAACTTTTTGACAGTCACAAAAAATCAACACATTCCATAATATTGTGGATCTTGTTGGGCTTAAGCTGCATCAAGCAGTTTATCTGATCGGATAAAAATTGTTAGAAACGCCTAATGGCCTGATATCCTAATTGCTCCCTAAGTATTGGTTTCATGTAATAAATATTCAAATGGATGTCACGGAGGATCTGCTGCTGATTCATTTTAATGGATAAAAGAAAATAATATTACTGATGAATCTTGTTCTCCTTACTAAGCCTATGGACATGATAATGGATTAAATTGTTCAGCAGAAATTAGATGTAAAAACTGTTTACCAAACAAAGGTTGTTGGGCGTAAAAAAATGCTAAAATTTATACTGTTGAAGAATATGGAGATGTCAAAGGAGAAGAAAACATTATGTAAGAAATTTTCAATAGAGGTCCTGTAGCTTGCAATATTTATTCGACTGAATATTTAAGATACAACTATACAGGAGGTATTTATAATGATACTACTGCTTATCCAGAAACTAACCATGTTGTTTCTATTGTAGGATGGGGAGTTGAAAATGGAGTTAAATATTGGATTGTAAGAAATTCTTGGGGAAGTTATTGGGGAGAAAAAGGTTTCTATAGATAATTAAGAGGTGTAAATATGATTAACATAGAATAATTTTGCTATTGGGCAGTTCCAAAAGATACGTGGACTAATGATGAAAGAGATAAGATCTAAACATCAAATGAATAAGAAAAATAAGAGTCTAATTAAGAAAAAATAAATAACTTTTTCAAATTTAGCAATTATACATGTAGAAGAGAATCACCAAAAAATTAACCTTAATTAATAAAAGGAAAATAACCTTATTAAATAATCTAAAAAGTGCCTAAAAGTTTCGATTGGAGAAATGTAAATGGAGTTAATTACTTATCTCATACTAGAAATTAACATATCCCTTAATATTGTGGTTCTTGCTGGGCACATGGAACTACTTCTTCTCTTTCGGATAGAATAAATATTGCTAGAAATAAAACTTGGCCTGATACTTCTTTAAGTGTTTAAGCTATTATTAATTGCAATGCAGGAGGATCATGTGAAGGTGGAAATCCTTAAACAGTTTACGAATTTGCAAATAATAAAGGTATTCCAGAAGAATCTTGCCAAAACTATGTTTCCAAAGATCCTGTAAGTGCTGATTGTTCGGATATTTAAAGATGTATGGATTGCACTAGACCTATTCCTACTAATACTACTGTTAATCCTGGTAGATGCTGGGCTGTAAAAAATTATAAAAATTGGAAAGTCTCATAATATGGAAGTGTTTCTGGAGCAGATAAAATGAAAGCTGAAATTTACATGAGAGGACCTATTTCTTGTGGTATTCATGTCTCTAGTAAATTTGAAGCTTATAATGGAGGTATATATTCTGAAAGATCAATTTTACCAGTTATTAATCATGAAATTGCAGTTGTAGGGTGGGGAATCGATGAAAAAACTAAAACAGAATATTGGATTGGAAGAAACTCCTGGGGTACATATTGGGGAGAATCAGGTTTTTTTAGAATTTAGATGCATAAAAATAATTTAGGTATTGAAGATGATTGTTCTTGGGGTGTTCCAGTTGTTGTTGAGAATGAAAAATAAAAAACTTCTGAAAAAATGTAAAAATTGAATATTGAAAAATATTAAATAAAAATACATAATATAGGATATAAGAATATATAAATATGAATAAATAAAAATTTAAATATATAAATATATATATATATAAATATATATTTATATAAATATATATATATATATATATATATATTTTTATATCAATTTTAATATATTTTTATTTAAAATTATATTTACAATATAAATTAATATTAATGTTATGAATTTTAATTTTTTTTTTTCATATAAACATTTTTGGTAAAGGTCTATTGTTTTATATACCAATACCATAAGATACTGAAGTTGGAAGAATTTTTTATTTTAAAAAATTTTAATATTAATTAAAATTAATTAATTAAGAAACATCAGTCATACTTAATATTTTAGATGTTTATCTTTTTCTTTTAGATCTTTATTTAAATAAAGGATCATTTTGTTTATTATTTTTATTTAATGTTCTTCTATTTATATTTTATTTTTTAAATATAGATATTACCCTTTCTAAATTATTGTGTGGGAAAAACCATGTAAAGTTCATAAATCTTTCAAATTTTTCAATTTAATTTGTTTCATTGTCAATTTTTACTAATGAATTATTTTCTTAAAGTTAAATTTTTTTCAAAAATTATAATATTTATTCATATTACTAACTATCATGCCTTTAAAAGACTGATTTATTACTTGCGGATATATTTTCAATTGATATATTTTTTTTATTTCTTTTAATTTTATTTATTGTTATCTTTATTATCTTTGTTATCTTTTTAATCTTTATTAACATTAAAATCATTATTTAATTTATTATCTTTATTTATTATTTTATCTTTATTATCTTTATTAACTTTATTAATTTTATTATCTTTATTATTACAATTATCTTTTTTATCTTTATTATCATAATTTTCTTTTTTATCTTATTTATCTTTTTTATCTTTTTTATTTGTTTTATCTTTTCTATCAGTATAATCTTTTTTATCAGTATTATTATCTTTTCTATCAGTATAATCTTTATTATCAATATAATCTTTATTATCATTATTATCTTTTCTATCATTATTATCTTTATTATCTTTATTATCTTTATTATCAGTATTATCTTTATTATCATTATTATCTTTATTTGTTTATTTTTCTGATTCTTATTTACTAATTTTATTAAAACTACATAAGGAATTTGTTTATTAATTTTGTTTAGATATCGAATTTTATCTTGATTTAGACAATTATTATTTACTTTATTTAGAAGAATTTTAAGAAGAAGTTGATGAAGAAGTTTAAAATGAATCGCTAAATATGTTTTTTAATTTATTTTTAATTTCTTCTTATTCATCTTCAAGAAAATCGAGGTCTTCATTAGATTTGAATAAAAGTTTAGTTTTGGAGTCGAATTTTGGTGCATTTTTTTAAAGAAGTTTTGAAAAAAGTTCATTTTATTTAATTAGAAAAATTGTTTTTTCAAAACAGATTTTTTTTTTTTTCTTTATAAATTTTTTCTTTCCTAAAAAAGAGAAAAGTTATATTTAAGTATAGTCTTTTATTAATCTAAAGATAAATGTATTTTTGGACATTATAAAAAAATATGATTTTTGCTTTTACAGGAAAAACATTGAATATTTAAAGATTTAAAATTTTTATAAATTATTGCTTTTTCTTCTATAACTTTAAATCTTTCGAAGTCTTCTTTGTTTTTTTTTAGTATTTCGATAAATTAAGACCTTTAGATTTTATATAATGTAGACAAATTTATACTTCTTGCAGAGGCTTTCCTTGCTAAACCAGTAAAAAAGGAAATTTCTCCAAATAAATGCCCTTGTTTTAGTTATATTAAACCTTCATTCTATCTATTTTTGCTTTTGTTTTAGGAATAAAATATTTCTATGATACCACTTTCGATTAAATAAATAGATTAATCATCTGCTTTTTCTTCTTAGAATATTATTTCATTTGGAGATACTAATACTTCTTCCATTATATAAACTATTTGTTAAAGCGTTTTCATTGAGAAATTATTACTAAATATTTAATGTTTTCTTAAAACTTTATTATTTATTTCAAATGTAAGTTCTTCACGTAATCTATTAGATAGTTTTGATATTACTTTATCTTCTTCTTCTTTATTTCTATCTTTTAATTCTGATGATAAAAATGATAGATAATATGTTATCCTTGTCTTTAATTCTACATTTACATTTTTTCTATCTAAATATCTTTTAAATTAATTATTTATATTTGTTCTATTATATTATATATATATTTTTTAAAAATATTACCTTTAAGTTATACTAATATTATCTATTAATTCTTTAGAATTCTTTTCTATTTCTTATAGAATCATTCCTATATTATTTATAGAATACGCAAATACACAACTTACTAAAATCATATTAATTGTTGCAAATAATGCTTCGTAAATATTTGTTGGAGTGATATCCCCATATCCAACTATTTAATTTTATTTTTAAAAATAGAATTTTATTTTTAATTATTACCTGTAGTCATAGTAGTAACTGACCAATATAAAGAATAAATATATCTTTAAATCCATGGTTAAAGATTTAAATTAGCTTTCTAAAGCCAAGTAATATTAACTTCCTTTAATTCTTCATAAACAGCTAATGTATGCCATAATATACATACTATGTGTGCTACAAATACAATTAAAATAACTAAATTAAATAATTTGAGAAGATGTTTTTAATTATTATTTAAAGTTATTAATTATTATAAATTCTTAATTTTAGAAAAAAGACCAAATATTCTTGTAAATATTATCATATTCTAAAAATAGACTAACAAATAATTATTAGGATTATAATTAGGAGAATTTTTACAAAAATAAATATTATAAATAATATAATAATAAGAAATAGAATCGAAAAAGAAATAAGATTTTAAATATCTATATGCAATATCTTTTCTTTTTTTAATAATATAATCTTTGTCAAAATAAGCAGTATTAAAATTAAAAAACATATCAATAAGAAATAAAAACGAAATAATTTAAAAAATAATATCAATTAAATAATAATTATCTAAATCTTAAGCAAAAAAAATTAGAATAGAATAAAAATATAGAAAAAATATTGTAAAAACTAAATAAATAATATGCCAAGAAATAACTATAGTATCAGTAGGTATAAAAATAATAATATTATCAATAAACTAATTTATTTTTATTTAAATCTTTTTAAATAATTTAATAATTTTATTTTATTAGTGTGATTTTACACTTTTAAAATGAAAGCTTTTATCGTCTATAATTTTATAATCATTATAATTTAAAATATTAATATTTCTATTTTTATTATTAATCTATAATAAATAATAAAATTCTTAAACTCTTAAATTTGTTCTTTATTATATATCATAAAATTATTTCATTATTTTGTTTAATTTGCTTAATTTTTTTTATTCAGATTCTATAGAGTTACTTTATTTAGACTTAGAAACAATTTTGTTTTCGCTTTTTTTATTATTTATTAATTCTTCTTTTTATGATTTTTTAAAGTTTTTTTATCCGTTATATTTTCATTTTATTCTTAACTTTATTTTATTTTTATTTATTCGTGATTTTATTAATTTCTTATTTTTTTAACTACAAAATCATTTTTATTATTTGAAGTTTAATCCAACAAATTTCTTTAAATTTGGCATTCATTAGACTATTAGTCTTTTTAAAATGAACATTACAATTCATTTAATATAGAAATTTCTGATGAAATTTTGAAATCGCCTTTATTTGATTATTATTTATCAAAAATAAATTATTACTTAAACATTTAGTTTTAATAAAATACAGTTTCCATAATATTATTTATTTTTAATTTTTATTGTATAAATAAAATGTAAATTACAATTATTCTAATTTTAATTAATTTTATTTAATTATTATAAATTTTATTGCGTTTAATTGTGAAAATTTAACAAAATATATTTTTTTTTACTTTAATATATTTTTCTTTTATAGATTGTTTAAATATTTTTTAAAAAATATTTAAATATAATAATAAATGAAATATTTAAATATAATAGTTTAATTATTTATCTAGTTAATGTTAATTAATAAAAAAAAAATACAAATATTTTGATATATATAATTAATTTATATTAAATTATATATTATTTTTCTTATTTAAGAATTTTTTATATATTTACTGTTTAATTATACAAAATGTTTTTTAATATTTATTTTATTTAAAAACAATAAATAAAATTAAAAAAAAAAAAAAAAATTGTATATTTATTTGCACCATTATTATTATTAATAAATTGAATTTTTTTTTATAAAAAAATAAAATAATATAAATAAATTTTAATTAAAAAAAAATTATATATTAAATTAACAAAATTAAAAAATATTATAAATAATATTTATTTAAATTAATTTAATGTTTTATACAAAAAAATATTATTAATACATATTTAAATAATTATTATATTTTTTATATAGTATAAAAAAACTTAAAACAAAAAATTTATATAAATAATTAAATTTATTTGTAAAATAATATATTTAATTAACATAATAAAAGTTAAAATAAAAAAAAATTATGGTATTCTTAAATGATAAATAATTTAATTCGTATACAATGTAAAAATATTTTTAATAAAAAAAAATTTAATAATATTATATAAAAAAAAGAAAATATAAATGAAATTTATTAAATGTAAATTATTATTATTATATAATAAAAAAAATATTTTGTATTATTAGTAATATAATAATAAATGTTAATATTAAAAGTTATTTTATTTTAAATTTATTATTATTATTATTATTATTATTATTATTATTATTTTTATTATTATTATTTAAATTAATTTTTTATATAAATTTATATTAATATTTTAATTCTTATTTTAATTATAAAAATATTTTTTTAATATAAATTTTTTTTTTTTTATATATATATTTTATATTAAGAATACATAGTTTTATTTTTATACAAATATTTTATTTAAACATTCATTTATAATAATACTGCAAAATTTTTTTAATGTCGAATTATTTATTTTATTTTATGATTTTAGCATTATTTTTAATAATTTATAACTTTATATTATATAAATAATTAATGTTTAATTTTTAAGTTATATATTTTTTTATTTTAAATAAATGCCTCAATATTTTTTTATATTAATCTTGATTATTTATTAATTCTATTTATTTAAATACAAAATATTTTATTTAAAAAAATGTTATAACTTCTTTAGTTAATTTTAGTAAATTATTATCTATTATTTTTTTAACAATGAAAAATATATTTAAAATATTTATATTGAATTTAATTTTTTAATAATATTAAACTATAATTAATAACGAAAATAATAATAATAAATAATTCAACATTTTAATAATGAAGGAGCAATCTTTTCATAATTTTAAAAAAACCCTCCCATTAACTCTACATAATAAACAGTATCTAAAACCCCACAAGTTTCCCTAATAGAATGCATTCCCCATTATCCACATCCTATATCACATCCTTTAATTCCTGAATTAGTAGTAATAATAGGCCCAATAGTAGACCCGCAAGGACTATCGTTTTTTACTACAAACTCCTAATAAGGAACTTAAGACTTTTCTGCAATAGCCTTAATAATAGCTCCACTAATAGAATCTGTACAATATCTTTGATTATGATTAACTTTGATTCCAACACCTTCATTGAGTTTAATTTTGTGATTTTCCTTATGTTTTTCAGGATAATTAGGATGAATAGAATGTGCCATATCTGCGGAAATAAGAAATGAGTTCAAGAAAGTTTTATGAAGTGAATCTTTTTGAACATTTTATTATTTTTAACTTAAAAGACTCCATATTCTATCTATAGAAGTCCTCAATAAATCCCCGTCAGCCCCCTAAAAGCTTTAAGACCCGATTTCTTCGTGATCAAAAAGACAAATCATATTAACATAAGAAGAATTTCCAGAATTATATTTAGTATCAGTTATAGCCAAAACAGAAGCCCATGAAGAAAATAAATTATCTAATCTAGGAGAACTTATAAATTCTTAATTTAGTCCAATTATTTATCCTTATTAACTATCTGCAAAACATAAATCTAAATCGACTATTTTTTCAGCAGAAATTCCACTTTTTTTTAAATATGCTATAAAAGTCCCTCATAATGGCTTTTTCCTAAAGGCCCGTTTATAGTTTCGACTGTTTTTCCACTTAGTTTTTCATATATTTAAGAAGCTAGTATAGGCTTTAGATGATTTTCTAAATTTGGTGCAAATTTATTTCTTTCATCAATCGAAGTTAAATGAATAGCTAAATTCGGTACTTTCAATATAGCAGATTCACTATTGTATAAACCTGTTTTGAGTTAATCTTAATCATCTTTATATACAACCCTTCCTGCTAAAATCAAATCTCTGTCAAACCAAGTGTGCCATAGTCCACCTCCATAAGTACATACACATGTTTAATGGAAATTATGACTAGAGGAAGCACTTAAAGGTGCCAATCGTAAGCAAGGAGAATCTGTATGGGCTCCTATTACTTTAAATCCTGTATTATTAGCATCAAATTCATTTCCTACGATAAACGCTACTAACGAACTTTCCGAACGAATGAAAAAGTAACGACCGCCTTTTTCTAAGTCCCAGTTTTCGGTTTCATGAATTTAGGTAAAACCTGCTTTTTAAAGACGTTATGTAGACTCATGAACGACGTGGTAGGGAGATACACCTTTATTTGCGAAGTTTAAGAAATCTTACGCTAGTTATGTGGCTTTTTCTAATCTTGTGTTGTCCATTTATATATTTTTTATTAATTTTTGTTAGGTTTTAATAATTTTTCTTTTGAAGAATAGATAATAAAAAATTATATATATTTTAGATATGCTTTATGTCTAATTAATTTATGTTATATATTCTTTTTCTTATAAATATTATTTAATTATAAAAATATTTGATTTTAATATTAAATAAAAGACTATTAATAATATTTATTTATATATTTATTTTTTTAAAATTTAATTATTACATTTATATTTATTTTTAGTTTTATAATATATATTAATAAAAATTTTATATTAAAATTTTTATAAGTATTTATTTATTTTTGATTATAAGAAATAATTTAAATGAGTTAAAAAACTTAAAGCAAAGGTAAAAAATGGTGTGAATTTTGTAAAACAGGAATTAATTGGAATAAAGAAGTAAATAAAAAAATTATAAAAATTTTAAAAATATGAATTATTATATAATAAAAAATAGGATTTATAAGCTCATGAGAAATCAATAAAACATATAAAAAATAAAGAAAGAGAATTAGAATTTCGAAGAAATAAATCGATAAGGGAAAAAATAAATTAATAAGGAAATATTAATCCTAAAGAAGAATAATAAGAAAAATAAGGATAATAAAAAAACTAGTAATAGAAAAATTAAAATATAGATAAAAAAGATAGAAAAAATTAATAAGAAATAAAGTTTGATGATGAAGAAAATAAAATAGATTTTAAAAGAAAGTTTGATAGAGTATGGTATTTATCAAAAGAAGAAAATGGATAATTATTTTTCTACAATTAAATTTCTAAAGAAAAAAAATATACAAAACCAGTTGGCTTGAAGGTTATATATTTTTAATATATATATATATATATATATATATATATTAATATATTTATATAAATTCATATCTATAAATATATAAAAAATAAAATATTAATAAATTTATATACTTATATAAATTTTTTATTAATAAAATAAAGAATAATAATAATTTAAAAATTAAAATAGCTTCTTGAATAAGAATAATAATTATGGGATGATTATTTAATAGAATAAATGCAAAATAAGCAAGACGATATACAATAAAATTAAAATTAAGAAAACTAAGAAGAAATAGAATTTCAAAAAATAAAAGAAATATAAAAAGAAAAATAATAGTAATAGCAATATTAATTAATTGATAATAATTTTAATAATGAATATTAATTAGTTGTTGAAAGCGAAGATTTTTTTCATAAATATGCAATAAGAAATGTAAACGATTAGATTATTTAAAAAGATGAATAGTTGTAATCTTTAGATGAAAGTGATGATAATTTGGTACAAATAGAAAAAGATATTGAAGATGGAAATCTTATAACAGAATAATAAATTTAAAGAGCTATTATTTATAAAGATTTTTAAGCAAAAAATAATAATATAGCTAATGTTAAAAATAAAAACGAAATGCTTAAAAAACTTATTGAAAATAATGTTGAACTTGAAGTATAACAAAATAACAAAATAATTAGAAAAATGGTATTTTCAATATAAATAATAAATAATATTAATATTTATTTAATTTTTAAATAACAAAAAAAGAACTTCATAGATGATGAAATTTAAGATAAAGAATTAAAAAAAAGTACTTTTAAAAAAAGAATTACAAATAATAAAAATATATAAAAGTTTAATATAGATAATTGAAACTTATTTTAATTATAAATTATTTATAAAGTTTTTATATAAAAAATAATTTTTGGAATATTTTTTTTTTTTTTAAAAAAAAAAATATTTATCTTTAAAAAAAAAAAAAAAAACAGAAATTATTTATATATATATATATTTTTTTTTTAAAAAAAAAAATGAATTAATAATTAAATATACATTTTTTATTTAATAAAAAAAGAAATATAAATAAAAAAAAATATATCAATAATGTATATATATGAATACATTTAAAAATAAAATAAAAAAAGAAACATATAAAATAAATATATTAAATCAGAAAGTTTTTTTAGTCATTATTTAATAAAAGTCTTCGGGGGTAATTTCTTTTCCATTTTAAGAGGCTCTTTCAAGCATTTCTTATAATTCTTCAGGAGTCATAGTTTCACCAAGTTCTTTTGCAACTCTTTTTAAATTAGTTAAGTTTATATTTCCTGAATGATCATCATCAAATAATTCAAATATTTTATTAATACCATCTCTTGATTCTTTATCTCCTAATTTTGAAGTTATAGCGTCTAAGAATTATTCGAATTCAATTTCGGGTCCTTCGTTTTCTAAATCAGCTATCATGTTATATATTGTGGGATTTTTTAAGTGGAAATTAAGTGATTACATTGCAGCTTTGAGTTCCTTTGGATCTATTTTTCCACTTCCTTCGGTATCAAAAAGATTAAAAGCTTCTTTTATTTCTTCTATTTCATCATCGGTAAGACCAGGTCTTTCTACTGGTTTTTTTTATTTGGTGTTTCCAAATGGTTTTTGACTATTTTGAATAGGTTTTTTATTCATTTTGTTTTTTTATTTAAATTGTTTTTTTTTTTGTTAAAAATTTATATTTTTTTTCTTTTAATTTTTTTAATTTAAAAAAAGTATATTTATTTTTTAAATTTAGAAACAAAAAAATTATATAAATAAAGTATATATCAATTTAATAATATATTTTTTGTTTTTTATATTCATATTAATTAAAATTATATTTATATTAATTATATTAAATTTTAAATTATTTTTTATATTTTTTTGTAAAATTTTTAATATAAGTTTTTTTTTTTTATGCTTTTTTTTTTATTTTATAAAAAAATGATAAGGATTTATTGAAAATAATCAAATTTTTTAACAGCAAAAATATATTAAAAAAAAATTTAAATAATTATTTTGAAAATAATATATTTTTTATATTAAATTAATATATATTTTATTATTTGTTTATTTTTTTATAATTTTATATTATTATTAATTTAGTTTAAATTTTTAATTTTCATAAACATTATCTTAAATTCTTATTTTTATATTTATTTATCAAAAAAAAAAATATTTACCAAAAATCAAATATAATATTTGTTAAAAAAATTATAAAAATAATATCTAAAGAAACATATCAAAATAATTAAATATTTATACAAAATAAATATATTTATAATACTAAAATAAATAATTTAATATAATAAATTCTTTTTATTAATTTTATTATATTCTTATTAAAGAAAATATTATAAAATAATTTTTTTTGTATATTAAAAAAATGAATTTATTATACTTATTTAATATAATAGACATAAAAACCTTTTAAATATTTATTAATAAATATGAAATATAATAATTATTAATTAAAAAAAAAAACTTTAATAAACACAAAATAAAATGAATTAAAAAGAGTGTTCAATCTAAGCTTTTATCAAAAAAGTTTGGGAGAAAAACAATAAAATATTTAAAAGACTTGATAAGTGTAAAAAAAAAGTAACTTTTAAATAAGTATAAGAAATATTAAAGAAATAATAAGAAAAAGAAAAAAAAGAAAAAGATAAATTGAAAAGTAATTAAATCAATTTAATAGAAAATGATATTAAATACGAAAATAAACATCAGCGATATATACATTGATTAAAAAAATATAACATATATGTATATAATTTAATATATTTATATAATTTTAATTTGTTTATATATTGATATATAAATAAAATAATTTTTTATTATTTATTAAAATTTTTATTATATTATTTAATTATATTTTTTTTAGAAATTAATTATAATTCTTTCTTATTTTAAATTTGTGTCTCTAAAAAATTTAATTAATATATTTTCATAAATAAAAATATGCTTTTATATTTTAAAAGGATTTTTATAAAATAAAAAAAAAATACGCAATTAAATATTTAAAAAATGTCCATTGGTTTACCTGTAAAAATATTAAGAGAAAGCGAATCTCATGTAATTACAGTTGAGATGAAGACTGGTGATTAATTTAGAGGTTATTTAGCTGAATCAGAGGTAACTATTTATTTATATATTATATATATTATAAAATAAATTATAATTCAGGATACAATGAATGTAAGATTAGATAATGTTACAATGATTAATAGAAACGGCAAACAATTTTTATTATAATCAGTATATTAGAATTAATATTTAATATATACAAATACAAATTATCCATATATAACAAAATAATAGGTATATTTAAGAGGAGCTTAAATTAGATTTATTGTAATTCCAGATTTTTTCAAAAATGCACCGATGTTTAAAAGAGTTAAAGCTCAAACAAAAAATAAAAATAAAACATTAATTAGAGAAAAAGGAAGAAAATTAAGAGGTATATTTTTTTTAATACATTAATAATCTTATGCATATATATGTATATTTTTTTTTTAAAAAAAAAGATACTGTTGTTACTCAAATAAAACAAAAGAAATGATATATAAAAAAAATTTAAGCAAAAAATAATTATATAAAATAAAAATTAAATAGATTAGATTAATAAATGTATTTATTTAGTAATATATAATTTTCATGTTTATTTGTAATTTTAAATACATTAAAAATTAAATAAATATTATATAAAAATATTATAATAAAGATATTTAATTAATTTTTGTTTGAAATTTATTAAATATATTTATATATATATATATATATATATATATATTTATATATATATATTTAAATTATTTTATTTTTTCAAATATTATAAAATATCATAATTTTTTTTTTTTTTACAAATAAATATTTTAAACTAAAATTTTATCTTTATATTATTATTTTGTTTAGGTATTTAATTACTTTAATTAAATATAAGCTTTGATATTTAATTTTAAATTGCTTTTTTTATTAATAATATTATTTTAATAAACATTATTATTAATTTAATTTTACAGAAAAATTTTAATTTTAAATAAATTATTTAGTAAATATTATATTAATTTTATGTTTTTTACATTTCATATAAATAAAAATGAATACTAATATTTTTTAACATTTTAAATTTATTAATTATACTTAGAAATTAATTCTTAATTATTTAAATTTTTAATTCATTTTTATAAGTTTCGATTGAATCCTTTTAGGTTAGGAAATTTATAAAAGTTATCTTTTTAAAAAAATAAAAAATAATAATACTTTCAAATATTTATTAAAATTACTTTTTTAAATAAAATTATCTTAAGTATTTTTAATATTTCCGTTTGATTAATTTATATTTTCATCGTAAGTTTTATTAAAAATTTTAATATTTTATTAATGAAATGAGTTTGAATTTCTTTTAGTTTATATATTAATTTTAGAACGATTATTCTCAGGGATTAAAGGAGGAATATGTTTATATGCTTATAACCTGTTTTATTAATAAAATACTTATTATTAAATATTCTTAGGTTTATAAATAATTTAATACTAACTTTTTTATAAAAGTGTATTTGATCTTTAAAAACTTTAATTATTAATATTTATATTGCTATTACTATTATTAAAATAGTTATTACTTTAATTATTACTATAATTAGTTAAACTATTATTAATACTATTTATATTTTAATTACTCACTATATTTTAATTACTTATTATATTTTAAGTTAATTTAATTGAATTTGTTTTTATACGTATTCGTTTTGTGTTTTCAATAATGTCAAAATTTTTTTTTATATTTCTAAACACTGAATTATTATTTGCGAACATTTAAATTAAATTTTTTACTTTATTTTAAAGTATTTAATAATTAAATGCATTTTATATCTTTTTTTAAAAAAAATAGTTTTATTTTTTAGAGTATTTTTTTTCTTTCTTACTTTTGGCGTTTTTGGAGGTTTTGTTTAAATTAGTTGTTAAGATTATGTATATAAGTTTATTATTTTATTTTTTTGTGATTGTTTATATTCAAAACTTAAATCTGTAATTTTTATTTCTTAATGTGAATTTGATTCTGTCTATTGTGTTAATTAAGTTTGATTTTCATATATATTATATCCTTCTTGTTATTATTTTTATTTAATAGATTCTAAATATGTCTAAATTTTATTTATATCGATTTATTATTAATTAAAAAGAGAAATAAAATTATCCCATTCAGTTATTATTTTTGGAATGCTTATTAAATGTTCTTTAATAATTTAGGTAAAAAAATCTTTAAATAACTAAATTATTTATGTAAATTAAGTCATATTTTACTTATTTTTAAATATATTTATGTATATTATATAGTATATATTTAAAAAAAAAAAAATTGTATAATTAACTGAAACATAATAAATTTAATTAATTTTTAATTATTAAATAAATTATAATTTATTTTTTAAACTGTATAAAAGCTTATTTAATATTAAAAAAAAATAGTATAGAGTAACTATATAGCTTTGAATATATAAATGTATATTTAAATAATTAATTTAATAATTTTTTTAAAATTTTAATCTTTATTATTTTTTTAATTTTATTTGAAAAATATTTTTCATATTTCTTATTCTAAAGTACTTTCTTTTATTTCTTTAACAGTTTCAAATATTTCATTCACTTCTTTTTCAAGTTTACATTTAATTTGATTAATTTAACTTGAAATTTAATCTATTTAAAGTTCTAATTAAAATAAGTTTTCTTTCATTTAATCATTAGTAAAAAAATCAGTTTTAATTATGTCTTTAAATGGAAAATTTGATTATTAAGAAAATTTAGATTTTTCAATAACACATTCCCTAAATAAAAATGTTAATTATTGCTTAGTACAATCTTTATTTTCATAAATTAGTATATTTTATTTTAATAAATTTTACTTTTTTTAATAAATAGATAAAAAAAAATAGGTAAGTTTTATATATATATAGTTTGTAAATACCATATATTTTTAATTATATTTAAAAAATTAATAGGAATAAGATAATATTTTAGTTTTAATATTCTAATATTTCTATAAAATTTTCAAAAACCTATGTTTAGGTATAGCTAATATTTTTAAAAAAGTCAATGCTTAATAATTATAACCGCTATTATATCCATTAAAAACACAATAATCACCAAAATAATGAGCTTTTGTTAAAAATTTATATATTTCTCTATTTTAATAATAAAAGAATAATTTCGCCTTTTTATAATTATAAAAAATTAAAAAATAAAAATAAATATATAAATTAAAAAAATTAAATATAAAATAAATATTATTATATTTTCTAATATAATTTATATAGATATATCAAATAAAAGAGAAGATATAAATAAATATTGATTTCTTTTATAAATAAAATTAAATTTTTTAAAAAAACAATATTAAAATATATATATAAATATATATATATATATATATATATATATTATACTTATCCCTCTATAATAAAATATATTTCTTAAACTTCTTATCCTTATTTTAAAATATATTAACCAGGTTAATATTTTCTCGGTAAAATTTCAAAAGATAATTCGTAAAAAAACTCTGACTATTAAAACTCATTATAATGAAAAAAACCTCTAAATGATTTATAAAAATCACTAATTAAATATCTTACAAGAGACTTTCTTAATTACTTAGGCATACTTTGTAAATACTTATCATCAATTTTAAGATCTGATAGTTTATCATTTTACCAAAAATAGTTAAAATGTTCGTCTATTTATTTTACTAAAGATTAAGGTAAACTTTTTTTATTAAATTTACCTTTTATAAAATAATAATATATATGAAAAGCATTTAAAAAAATACTCATTTAAGTTAGCCAAATTTATAAATCATTATTTTTATGAGATACCCCTTATTTAGCCTAACTTTAAAGTGCTTCACTAAAAGTACCCATAATATATGAAAAAAACGATAGACCTAGAATCATAATAACTATTCCTATAATTTTTTCAAAATTAGTTTAAGGAGATAAATCTCCATACCCAACGGTTGCTAAAGTGGTCATAGCAAAATAACAACAAATTATAAGTTTTTTCGTATTATTATAATTCTAAAGTCCATATTTTTACATAAACCCAATCTACCCAGTATCCTATATATTAGATTTTATTACTACATACCAAACGCAACCTACAAAAAATGTCAATGCGGCTGCAAATAGTATTATTTTTAGTAATTTAAAAACTTAATTAATATAAAATATATAAGAAAGTTTTTAATTCTGGTATATTTTATCCAAAATCTTATTTATTATATCATCTATTTTTTAAATTTAAAATAAACGAAGTAATTTTGGTAATCTAACAATCCTAATAGACTAAATATTTTTTCCTTAATACATTATTAATTAAAAAGGAATTAAGCTAACAATATCTATCCAAAACCAAAATTTTAAATAATGTTTTGCTATTGAAGGAAAATCCTTTACTATTTCTTACTATTCATTTCTAAATTCAGTTATAAAACTTATTAATATATTAATTCCAAATAAAACTTCAATTATAATATTAATATCATTAAATTCAGATATTTCCTCAAATGCAATACTATTATTATTATTTTTTAATTTTTTTTGTTTTTTACTTATATGCTATAGAACTATTATATGCAATAGAAAAAAAAATTATTAAATTCCATAATTTTAAAAATTTACTTTCTAAAGAAATAATAAATCTCTAAAAGAAAAAACATTTTTTTTATTTATGAGATTATAAATTTGTAAATTTTGTTATTTATTCTTGGAATTCTAAATAATTTTTTCTTTATTTCATAAATTTTTTTGTAATTTTTGTTGGCTCGCCGAATAAACATAACTTTTCATAATCACTTAGTGTATTAAGTGAATCAAAATTTATCTATTTTTATTAACTTTAAAAATTTCTACCGTTAAACATTTTTTATTCTTTTTTAATAAAAAATTAATTTTTAAATAATATATATTAAAATAATAAATATATATTATATTATATAAATATTTATTATTTAATTAACAAAAAAATACTTAATATATATAAAAAAAACGATAGTCAACAGTTTTTATAATAATAAGTAAATATTTTATTTTTATTTTTATTAAAAAAAAAATACTATAATAAAAATTTAAAAATTAATTATTTATAATTTCATATAGATTTTTTATATATATTAAATAATAGATTCATTTTGTTTAAAAATTAAATTAATTTTAATAATTATATTAAAAAATAAAAATAATATATAATATATTCCAAATAAAAAGCATATATTTTAAATAAAATTAAAATAAAAATATGAAAAACCTCATCGAAAATCAACGAAAAGCCCTTCACAATATTATCACAAACCCAAAATACTTCTAACAAAATGACAACTGTATTTGGAAAATTCTAATTCTGGACCAATTTAGTATGCATTTAATATGCAAATTATTCTCTCGTGAAGAAATTCAATAAATGAATGTAACCCTTCTTCTAAATATAAAAGATAAACGTGAAAAGCTTCATGATATTTAAGCTTTTTACATTCTTTAACCCACAAACGAGAATTTTATGTATTTAAAC